AAAATATCTATTGTAAAGGGTGTATAAGGGTAATACAAACTCAAAAAAGGAAGATAACAACATAGAAAACATAAATGAAGTAATTAAAAAAAAAATGACATAAAAATCAGTTACGTGGGAAAACTTTGAAATAAGATTCAATTACTATTTTAAAATTTGTAATTACGATCATTTGCACAATTAAATGTCGCAATATATCATATATTTGCAATTGATCTACGATTAATAATTAATGTGAATTGCAACGACGTGTATGGTTGTCTGAAGAGTGAAATTATATGAACAAATACGGTTCTTTGATTGGTTATATTTTCATATGACATTGTGGCATTTTATATTAAACCGGTTCGATATAGCTTTTCAAATGCATCACTCAAACTTGTTTGTGGGCTGATTCTTTCGCCTACTAGTTACTATATCTATTACCGACATACGTACGTACATACGCACGTAAATATAACTTCATGCGATACGTAAAGTTTGGAAACATGTGTACTGTTTGTAATATACATTACAAATATAATGCGAACTGAATTAACCGAATGTATATTCAATCTAATCTCTAATTTCATATAGTATAAGTAACACAAATAACCCCAAATTGTAAGCTTACAATAACGTGCTTAATATCTTAATATCTGCATTTTAAAAAATGCAGAACAGGATTATATACGTACACGTTTTCTTCTCTAATCATTCGTTTCTTTCAAGCTGAGATGCCTACGAACTTGTTTCGCATCAATAAAATTACTGATGCAAACGGACCACTTCTTATCATTGCCATTACTTTCAACTTGAGAGGTAGGAAACTCTTTTTTAAGATATTCTTCGACTTCTTGATGAAACTCACGTAACATATAAAACCCACTCTGAGAATATCCAATTTTCTTTGCATCAAAAGAAGTGGCACCCTGATAATAAATTGGATCCGTACCGTCAGCAAAATATTGAAATTTTTAGTAGCTTCTATAAGTAATGATCCAATCGCTTGTATGAATTTTGTTAAAGTATTGGCGGCTGATTTACAACCATTATCGAGACTATGTTTTATGTCAGTTATTGTCGATGAAGGTGGTGGTGAATTGGAAGAGGTTGTGCTGATGACTGGAAGATGTCTGGGTGAAGATGTTTTGTTATAAGGGGAGAAATTACTTTTATGTCTTGATCGTGTATCTTCGAGCACACTTTTACTGGAATAGTATGAACGTGGACGACTATATCTGGAATATTGATCAGAGTAGCGATAACTTCCTTTGTA